TTGTCTTTCCATTCTTGGGATACCTCACTTAGTAGAATGTGTTCCAGCTCTATCCAGGAGTATACAAGAGGTGCTATATCACCATTGTTTCTTGAGATCTCTTCCCTTCAATTTTAAAAGACAGTTATAAAAATAATGCCTGCCCTTGGTAAAAGCCGAGTAAAGTCCAGACCAGCTCCATGGTCGCCAGGACAGCCCTGGCTAACACTTGCAGTGGGCTGTGAGGATCTTTAGGGAGGTACAGCCCGTGATCTGACCTGAGTTCACCATGAAGAGTTATGTTTTGGCTCAAAATGACAGATCCTTTCCTTAAAGCTTCCCAACCAAACCTCTTCTAGGAATTGTAAAAAGAAAATCAAAGTCTCAGGGCCACCCCGTCAACTCCTTATGCAAAAGAGAAGGTAAAAGCCTCAGGCACCTGTGAAGAACATGCCCCACAGATCATTCGTTTAGCAAATTTCTTGCTAACCTCCCATAAGCAAGGACATGCAAATTATACCCATGTCTAGCACCTAAAACTAAAGCCCGTTTGATTCCACATTAATAATGAATTACAAGTTTATCTTACAGGTAACAGAACTGGAGACAAGACAGAATCAGACACTCTTCCACCTACCAACGACATCCGCATACTTGATGTTTCCTTCACTCCCTTGTTTTATGTGAAATGTATTATAGATTTCTTGGGCCTCACAAGAATGTAACCACTACCTCATCAGCCCCCTTCCTACCTCCCTGCCTTTTTCCTTCCCTTAAATGAGATGATTTCTTAAAATGCTTCCGGTTCCAACCTCCCCTTTGAAAAACAGTCACAGGTTGCTGTTCGTGTTTTTCCCAGGCGCGTTCTCAAATCTTGGCTTAATAAACCTCCACTGATTGAGATTTTTGCCTCAGTCGTTTATCTGGGTAGACAGAATCTTCTGAGAACTCTAATTATCACAACGAATATTTTCAAACATCAACCTCTTAAGAGAAAAATCTGTACAGAGTAGAAAAAAGTCCAGAAAACTAAAAGAAGACCTCTATATTTGTTCATTTATAGTAGACTACAATTGTTTCCAAAGGGAAATTTCCAAAAGTTGAATTCCCATCATTAGCTAGAATAGTTGAACCAAATGAATTTTCCCTTGCAAGACAAAAGCAAAAGAATTAACAGCAAAAACAAGTCAAAACAAAACAAAAACCAAAGCAAACTGAAAAATCCAAAAGGACGACACAGGAAGAGGGAAAAACAGAACTTGAGAGAAACTTTCGGACACAATGACAAAAAGTGATTAGAACCAAATAATTAAAACATTAACTCAAACTATAATTTAGAACAGTATAAAAGAGCCACGCACACATGTGGTGACTTATGACAGTCAAGGTAAGACTGCCCAAGTCACTGAGCTGGCTTCCATCCCAGGGGTTGGCAAACCATGGCCCATGGGTGAAGATGCCTGTTTTTGTAAGGCCTGCGAGCTAAGAACAGTGGTTTTCCATAGTTTTCTGGGAACTTAGCCCGTTCATCCATT